TGAAGAGCTTGATGCTGAAGATATGGAGCGTACACGGGATGTATACAGGTATGTATGTCCTTGTGGAAGTTGCATTTTTCGCCTTTTTGACGAGGGTGGGATCTATCTCACATCCTCCCTGTTTGTGTTTTCAAAAGAATCAGGTTGGATAATTTGTTGGTTTATACCAACTTTCCTATTTATGCTAGGGAATCATAAAAAATGGTTCATTGATCATGCTACGCTATAGATGATTGCTATATTTGTTTCTAAACTCATGTATATCTGATGTCTTGGGAGAGTTGATGCTACATAGGACTTGTACTAGCTAAACTGATGACATGTGATTTTCTCTTGTCCGAAGCTTCATGACTCGCAAGAAGGTGTATGAGAGTGTAAAATGGAATCAGTGGCTTGTCTATCTGAGTAATTATTTATTTTATCTAAAAAAAGGGGTTGTTGACCTTAGGTTGTTATGGGTCCCTAATGGCTGGAGATTGTGTTTGTGAAGGCTGCATGGTTGAAAGTTTTGGTGGCGGGATTAAAGTTCGAGCAGATATCGTCTTTTGCAGTATTTAGTAATACTTTGATGCGTTCTTGAGAATAGAGTTTACGTTTTCTTCATTTTGGGTTGACTCACTTCATTTTTCTTGTCAAATGTGTTCTGTTTGTCACATTTTCATGCTTTTTCTTTTTTACTATCAATTTAAGCTGTCAACTCTAAGTGAGACTCCTTGTCCTAGCTGATATATCTTTTAATTTTTAACTAGATCTGTCAATCGCGCTACGCGTGTGCAGAGTGAGTCTTTGTCGCTTTGTTGCAAGACGTTACAATCTTTCTCAAATCAATTCACATGCATACAGATAAAAAGAAACCCATGTTTCTAATCCAACATATAGGAGTTGGAAGGTTTTTTTTATTGTAGAGACAGTTATAGCTGGACTTGGAATGTGGATGAACATGTGTTAGTGGAGGGTGAGGGTGAGGGTTAATGCCTAATGGCGATGGAGAGTGATGGATAGATGAATTTCTTCATGTACACACTCCTTAAATTGATTTGCGTTTTCAGCCCAAACTCGGGAGAATACGATTTATCTAAGGGTATTCTTGGAAGCAACTAAAAGTGACACAAAACCCACTTTTTGGCTTAAATATACAGATATATGTAAGTCTGTAGCATGGAAGCCATGATTGTGAGGGTTTGAATGCATGTAACCCCAAGTATTCATTTTGTCTTTTTGTTCCCTCTCTTTCCAGCATTGAAGACTAGTCTTATTACTGATGGAGCTTTCTCATTCAATCTTGCAGAGAGTGTCTCAAACTGATTCCTCAACAGAAATTTCATTTGCCAAAATTTGGCTCTTAGCGGCTCAATTTGAGATTAGACAAATGAATCTTACGGGTGCATGGCAGATCCTAGGCAATGCAATTGGCAATGCTCCTAAAGATAAGGTAATATAGATTGGATAAAGTTTTCACCGAGAGAGACTAGTCTCTAAGTTTCCTGTCATTCTTGTCCTTCAGTTTTTCCTCCCCGTCCTTTTCTAAACAAGTTTCTTTGTTGTGCTTGGTTATTAATAGATATTTAAAAAATACATTGAGATAGAGCTGCAACTTGGCAACATAGACCGATGCCGAAAACTATATGAGAAATACTTGGAGTGGTCTCCAGAGAACTGTTATGCTTGGAGCAAGTATGCTGAATTGGAGATATCCTTGGGAGAAACCAACCGAGCTAGAGCCGTTTTTGAAGTAGCGATTGCACAGCCTGCACTTGACATGCCCGAACTGTTATGGAAGGTAAAGGCCTGCCTTTTGTTTTACTTACCCAAAATATGCGTGACTTAAGGTCAAAAGGGAAAAATATTGTTATATTTTGCAAGAATCATGAAAACATACATCTCCAAATGATGTACATGTCCGTGTCCTTTTAAAATTTGAGGTGTTCAATGTTGGCCAAAAATCAAATTTCAAATGCAAAATGCAAAACTATACGTGAACAATTAAGACCATATTCATTCCAAGCCTATGCTAGTATGTTATTTTTTGATATAAAATTGAGTTAACCTAGGGTTCTACTCTCAAACTCGTCACTTTTATGTTATTTTATAATGGGCGCTTGCCAATGAATTTGCCCGATGTGATCTTAATGCATGTTTACCATTGTTGTTATTGTGTTAAAGGCTTACAACTACTTAAACAGCGTATGTCTCTATGTGGATCTGTAGGGTGGTGTTTCAGTCCTATCTTATGCATGTTCGAGCAGATATCATCTTTGCAGTATTTATAATACTTTGATGCGTTCTTGAGAATAGAGTTTACGTTTTCTTCATTTTGGGTCGACTCACTTCATTTTTCTTGTCAAATGTGTTCTGTTTGTCACACTTTCATGCTTTTTCTTTTTTACTATCTGTTGACACCTAAATTTTGACTAACCATTTAGTGATTAATTGTATAGAAAATTAGGGATTAAATTTTAACCCCTAAACAAAAATATCAAAATCGCATAGCATATAATTTAGGTTCATATAGATTAACTGCATTCCACATCGAACCGGCGGTGGCGAGAAAGCTGAAAATTCATCGCGTAAACCGAGCTCGAGCACTTGGCTCACTCAAGGGATTGGGGGCCAAAATTCACAAGTATAAAAGGCTTTGGTTGTTTTAATTTGAGCTTAAATCAGCCCGAATTAATTTAGCCCATTTGGAATTAAAATTAAATTAAATGATAAAGCCTAAGTCTAAGCCCATTAGGACTAGGAAGCCCGGTTAATTAACCTAGGGTTGCGATATAAATATGTCGTTATGCGTCATAACACTACAAAAAAAGCCGGGTTTTGCCACGAATTTTGCCACGAAAAATTTCGACAAAATTCGTGGCAAAATGAATTTGCGACGAAATTAGTGACGGAAAAAAATTTGTCGCTAATAGGCCGTCGCAAAATTTTGCCACGGAAAATTCCAATTTTCGTGGCTAATTTGCGATGAATTTTTTTCGTCGCAAAATTCGTCGCTAATTATTCGTGGCTAATTTTGCAACGAAAAATAATTCGTCGCAAAATTCGTCGCTAATTATTCGTGGCAAAATTCGTGGCTAATTTGCCACGAATAATATTCGTGGCAAATATCCGTTGCTAATTTGCCACGAATATTATTCGTGGCCAATATCCGTCGCTAATTTGCCACGAATATTTTTCGTGGCAAATATCCGTGGCTAATTTGCCATGAATATTATTCGTGACAAGAATCCGTCGGTAATTTGCCACGAATATTTTTCGTGGCAAATATCCGTGGCTAATTTGCCACGAATATTATCCGTGACAAGAATCCGTCGGTAATTTGTCACGAGATCTATTCGTGGCAAAAGTCGTCGCTATTATTTTGATTTATTTTTCGGTCGCGAAATTGCGACGAAATATTTTCATGGCAAAAAGTCGTTGCTAATTATCACGTGGCTAATTTGCCAAATTTTTTTTTTTTTGCGACGAGTTTATTCGTGGCTAATTTGCCACAAAAAAATTTGTGGCAAAATTCGTGGCTAATTTGCCATAAAAAAATTCGTGGCAAAATTCATGGCTAAATTCGTTGCTAAAATTCGTGGCTAATTTGCCACTGGAATTATTCGTGGCTAATTTGCCCGCAAAATTTTTTTTTTTATCAGTATTTTGCCACGAAAAATTTTGACTATTGCGGCCGACATTATTCGAAAACAAATTTGGCGACAAATTTTAATGAATACTTTAGCGACGAATGTTGTTTATGAACGATTTCGATTTGAAATCTAATTAACATTGATAGAAAATCACAGTCAAGACAAGAACAAACCCCAAAAAGAAAGAAATGAAACAATGTTCTAAATTAGCGAGTTTGCAAACTGTTGTGGCAAACTATTGATCTTGCCAAGAAGTTCTTTCACGTTGTGGCAAACTGTTGCGGCAAACTGTTGCGGCAAACTATTGATTTCCAAGAATCGAAGTCCTGTCCATCTGCAGCGCAAACATCACAATATCAAACTCCTAACCCCTGTTAATTTTTTCACATCTATTCAACAGCAGAAGCACAAAGATATAAGTACCTCTTGGAAATTTAAACTAGCAAGGATCATCATCAGCATCAGCATCAGCATCATCATCAGCATCAGCATCATCATCATCATCATCATCATCATCATCATCATCATCATCAGGAATCTCATTATCATCATCATTGTGGCCATCACCTACTGGATTAGTAGGAGGTACAGGAGGACCGTCATCAGCTTCGAGGTTGAGGTGTTGCATGATCAATTGCAAACGTTGGTTCACTCCTTTCATTTCTTCGTCCTTCTGTGCAAGTAATTGTTTCATTTCTTCGTCTTTCTGTACAAGTAACTGTTTCATTTCTTCGTCCTTCTGTACCAGTAATTGTTTCAAGCGGTTCAATTCTTGGTCCGTTCGCTCCTCGTGTTGTGCCCTTAAAAAAGCCGCACTGGAGGATGAAGTTGCAGCAGCCGGCGTTCTGTACATCCTTGACAAGGATCCCATCCCAAATATTTGACCTCTTCTCATTCCACCCGATGCCTCCATCCATAATGCCATACTGTCAACCGATGGCTCCGACGCAACAGCACTATCACCATCACCATCACCATCACCATCACCATCACCACTAGCAGCAGCTGTGCTCATTACAAGTTCATCATATTTGTCCTACATTAACAATATTAATAATAAAAAAAAACTTCATATATATAAATACAAAATATAACCTTACATACCTTAATAACTTTTGCTCGATTGCCGGTCCATGTCTTATCTTTTTTCTGAAAGGTGCGTTCAAATGTAGCCATAAATGTTGGTTCCGTCCCCAATTCATCTTCCTACAAAATATAAACATAAATGAAATGAGTAATTATTGATTTAACTTTACAACATGTTTAAAAGACTTACCATTCTTTTTCTATGCTCTCCGATATTAATAGAGCCCCCAGCATATGTGGCAAACCCTTCTCTAGAACTAGAAGCTCGATTCTTCTTATTAATTTCACTGATTTGCTTATGCTTTTCGGTGTCCCAAGTTCTTTTGATTTCCGCCCAATTGTCAGCTGTAATAAAATCCGGCTTTTCTTGTCTTCTCTTTGCTCTATTCATCACATTTCGCATGTGATCACCGGCTTTCTTCTTAAAAATTCTTTTAACTTCTTTCTCTTCCGCTTCATCCCACCTGAACTTCCGCTGCAAGCAATCAATAGAAAAATAATTGTACGCTCAGTATGCTAAATCGAACTTAGTTTGTGAGGAAATAAAAGGACAAAACTTACCTTGAACTCATTCCACCACAATTCCTTTACTTCTTTTGGAGCAAAGGGTCCAACTACTAAACCGCCACATCCAATAGTTATCGATTATTTTATTAAGTCTCCTCACAACATGCGTAGAATCCGTGAATCTGCAAACGGGTTATAACTTATTTCAACATACGTAGCATCCGTAAAGCATACAGACAATTCAGTTGACATCCATAATAATTCACATATATTTAAAAAAAATGAAATACTTACGAATCTCCAAATGGGGCTATCATGAATCGGGTATCTTCTTCATAATTCGAGTGTTGCGTTGAAGAAGAAGGTGGAACCGAAGTAAATTCAGTTCGCATTTGAGGGTCGGAGGAAGGGCCAATGTGTCCATGTACTAGTTGAGGGTTAGATAAAAGGGCAGGGGCAGGGGAAGTGGAAAGGGATGGGGATGAGGACGAGGAAGAGGAAAGGCCTGGTCTTCTTTGTGAAGCATCATCACGACGCATGTGACCTCCACGTTTATACTAAAAGGTGCAAGGTTAGACAAAAATAAAGAAATTATGGACATATATTAAGGACACATAATGACGTACGTCGTGAAGCTTACCATTTTGTTATTGAGAGCAAGAGAGATGGCCCCTGAAAAAAAGGAAGCTGTCCGGAAATGTCTACGAGCTAAATTTCTGGTCCTACAATGGTAAAAAAGGAAGAACTCATCTAGCTGGTCAGGGTCATCAAATTTTCAGTTAATTTCTGTAATTCAACTTGTTTTAAAATTTAATTGCATGTTTTGAAAGCCTTAGAACTTAATAAGTTACACTTTCACAACAAATTTTATGATGCAAGTAAATCACTAAGTTCTGTTCAAAATGAATATATCAACTTCAACAAGAAAATCAATAAGTTTTTACCTCGAAGGGAGCCACTCCAGAAAACGCAAATGTCATGGAAATAGTTTTACCCCGATGGCTAAAGCTTCAACCTAGGCCAAAAAAGGTTTGAAAATAGTTTTCAAACCTAGATAATGATAAAATGACTCTGAAACGAAAAAAAAAAAAAAGCAGAAATGTCACGAAAAACACTATTCACCAGAATCATTTTTTGCCAAAAAAACCCATCTAAACGACTCCAAAAAGCCAAAAAATGGCTTGCGTCACGGCCATTGGTGGTGAATTTCGATCAGCGGGCCGTTTCCACTTGACCGACCAAATTTCAGCTCATTCCGACCACATTTCACCTTATTTCGACCAAATTTCAAACGAATTTCAACTAAATTTCAACCTAAATCCGACCAAATTTCAACCTAAATATGAGAAATTGATTATGTTTTGTTCTGTTTCGTGGGCGAACGAAACAGATTGGGTCTGTTTCGCCCACGAACAGAATCAAATTCGTGGGCGAAACAGAAACAGAACCATTCTGTTTCGCCCACGAACAAAATCAAATTCGTGGGCGAAACAGAATGGTTCTGTTTCTATTTCGCCCACGAATTTGATTCTGTTCGTGGGCGAAACAGACCCAATCTGTTTCGCACAGAAGACAACACCCAACACAGAAGCGCCCATGAAAGCCAACACAGAAGCACCCACGAAAGTCAACACAGAAGCAGAAGCCGAAGCACAGAAGCGCCCACGAAACTGGTTTGTTTCGCACACGAATAGAACCAAATTCATGGGCGAAACAGACCCAATCTATTTCGTCCACGCAACGCAACGAAGCGGACCCAACACGTAGGGAAGCGGTACAGAAGCGCGCAGCGCGCGCGTGACGCACCCAACACATAAGCCGGCCAACACAAGGCGCACGCGGACCCAACACGAAAACCAGCCAACACAGGTACGTATACGTAAGCTTAGCGAGGCGAAGCGCGAGGCGTGGCACGTGCGAAGCATAGAAGCGAGAAGCACGGAGCGTAAGCAAACCCAAACGTAGACCCAACACATACATTGAACAGAAGCATAAGCAGACGCAAACGCCTAGAAATAATCACAAAAGGCACCCAACAGAAGCATACCGAATGTAAGGCATCGAACACTCTCGACGCCGCCGAAGAACCCAATGTAGCGGCATCGCGCACTGGGTGTCCTCGCTTCCCAGCGTCCGCCGCCGAAGAACGCCAAGAATCGCGCCGAAGAACGCCGAAGAACTGCAACAGAGACAGAGAAAGAGGGAGAAGACAGAGACAGACAAGAGACAGAGGTAAGGTGAGAAGATTGGTTCGATCGTGAGAACAGAAAAGAAGAACCCTAATTTGTACCCGCTCATGAAGACGACGCCGTTGGTTGAATTTTCGCTGAAATTAACCACGGATTTAAAATCGTGGCAAATTTGCCACGATTTTAGGATTCGTGGCTAAAATCGTGGCAAATTAGCCACGAATCTTATTTCGTGGCTAATTTGCCACGGATTTAGCCACGATTTCCAATCCGTGGCTAATTTGCCACGATTTTAGCCACGAATTGTTATTTTCTCGCGGCAAATTCGAATCGAAATATAAAATTGTCGCGGTAATTTTGGGGCATGGGAAATTTGCCATGGATTTTAGCCACGAATTTCCTGAAAAAGCCTACAGAAGATTTTTTTTTTAATTCGTGGCTAAAATCCGTGGCAAATTTCCCACGGATTTTTGCCACGAATTTCCTGAAAAAGCCTACAAAAGATTTTTCATTTTAAAAAAAATCCGTGGCTAAAATCCGTGGCAAATTTGCCACGGAATTTAGCCACGAATTTCCTAAGAAAGAATACAATAGATTTTTTGTTTAATAAAAAAATCCGTGGCAAATTTGCCACAGATTTTAGCCACGAATTTCCTAAGAAAGAATACAATAGAATTTTTTTTAATAAAAAAATCCGTGGCTAAAATCCGTGGCAAATTTGCCACGTATTTTAGCCACGAATTTCCTGAAAAAGCCTTCAGATTTTTTTTTAAAAACAAATCCGTGGCAAATTTGCCACGGATTTTTGCCACGAATTTCCTAAAAAAGAATACAATAGAATTTTTTTTAAACAAAATCCGTGGCTAAAATCCGTCGCAAATTTGCCACGGATTTTTTCCACGAATTTCCTAAAAAACCCTACACACGATTTTTGCATTTTAAAAAATATCCGTGGCTAAAATCCGTGGCAAATTTGCCACGGATTTTAGCCACGAATTTCCTAAAAAAGCCTTCAGACATTTTTTTTTTAAAAATCCGTGGCTAAAATCCGTGGCAAATTTGCCACGGATTTTTGTCATGAATTTCCTAAAAAAGAATACAATAGAATTTTTTTTTTAAAAAAAATCCGTGGCTAAAATCTGTCGTAAATTTGCCACGGATTTTTGCCGCGAATTTCCTAAAAAACCCTACACACGATTTTTGCATTTTAAAAAATATCCGTGGCTAAAATCCGTGGCAATTTCCTAAAAAAGAATACAATAGATTTTTTGTTTAATAAAAAAATCCGTGGCTAAAATCCGTGGCAAATTTGCCACGGATTTTTGCCACGAATTTCCTAAAAAAAGAATACAGTAGATTTTTTTGTTTAATAAAAAAATCCGTGGCTAAAATCCGTGGCAAATTTGCCACGGATTTTAGCCACGAATTTCATAAAAAAAGAATACAATAGATTTTTTGTTTAATAAAAAAATCCGTGGCTAAAATCCGTGGCAAATTTGCCACGGATTTTAGCCACGAATTTTCTAAAAAAGAATACAATAGAATTTTTTTTTAAAAAAAAATCCGTGGCTAAAATCCGTCGCAAATTTGTCACGGATTTTTGCCACGAATTTCCTAAAAAACCCTACACAGGATTTTTGTTTTAAAAAAAAATCCGTGGCTAAAATCTATGGCAAATTTGCCACTGATTTTAGCCACGAATTTTCTAAGAAAGATACAATAGAATTTTTTTTAATAAAAATATCCGTGGCAAATTTGCCACGGATTTTTGCTACGAATTTCCTCAAAAAGCCTACACACGATTTTTTTTTTAAAAAAAATCCGTGGCTAAAATCCGTGGGAAATTTGCCACGGATTTTTGCCACGAATTTCCTAAAAAAAGCCTACAGAAGATTTTTCTTTTAAAAAAAATCCGTGGCTAAAATCCGTGGCAAATTTGCCACGGATTTCATAAAAATCCACAATCATGCGTACGGCCTTTGTTTACGAAATCCGTGGTAAATTGCCACGGATTTTTGCCACGAATTTCGTAAAATTAAATTTTGGCTTTTCATGAAAAATTACTTAGCCTTGTGAGTGGGATTTTTTCACGAAATTCGTGGCTAAATTTCGTGGCAAATTTTCGACAGATTTTAGCCACGAATTTCATTTCTACTATCCCACACTCGCGTAATTCATTTTTTTTTTCCGGACAATAACGTTTCATTAACAATAATAGCAATAATAATATTCAACAACAATTACAATAATAATAATAATAATAACTACCACAACAACAACAACAATACTAATAATTACAGCAACAACAACAATAATAAACATGACAACAACAATAAACTTTGTCATAATAATAATAATAATAATAATAATAATAATAATAATAATAATAATTACGACATAATTAGTAAAAAGTCTCAAAAATCTAAATCTTCGTCTTCACCTTCGTCCGCATCTTGATCTTAATCGTCTTGTTCATCATCATCGTCATCATCATTGTCGTCATCATCGTCATCATCATCGTCATCGTCATCGTCATCATCATCATCATCATCATCATCATCATCATCATCCTCTGTCTGAAAATCAGATTCTGCAACACCTTCTAAATTTGATTCGCGAATTTCAATTAGATCTACATCTATCATTACTCCACATGGATCTCATAGAGTAGGAATGTTATATTCCTCAGTTTGAACCGCATTATAAACTTCCTCTTGTTGATATGCTGTATCCTTCCAGTGTTCCTCGATTTTTCTTCGTGCTTTGGTTTTACGTACAGCCCACCAATCAGCTTTGTCACATTTCAAACTAGGATATGATGCATAATATACTTGAATTGCTTGTTGTGCCAACACAAATGGTTCATATTTCTTATACCTTTTCTTGTGATTTATTTCAACCAAATTAAACTTCGTATGTACCTTCATTCCTTTGACG